CGCCCAGCCCAGCAGCGCCAGGTACACCGCGCAGAACGCCTCCGCCAGCAGCACCGCCAGCCGCGGCGAGTCCTCCTCCTCCGCCGCGCGCAGCGCCAGCCCGCGCAGCGCAGACACGCCTACAGAATAACAACTTTGATAAATTATGCCTTGTAAAGACCTCATAAAAGTAACTACATACTTATAAAAGTTCTCAACAGTTCATTTGTTGGTGTCTAGTAGATACTTTGTATACCCCCTTAAACTTGCTATGGTAGAAAATAAAATTATTTTAAATGAACTTTCTTACAAATGAAGATAAAATATTAAATTTAATTTATGCAAAATTATACTTTTTTCGCAACTGAACTTAATATTGACTACCTGGCCATTTATTTGGTGTAGTAGTGACGGACAGTTCTTCAACAGAGTATCGTCTCGGCCGCACCAGGAGATTGGAGGTGCCTGGTGTTTCTGCAATCATTCTAAGGAACAACAGAACGTGAGAATAGATAAGTATAATGAGTTGTGGAGGCAGTGTCAGGTACGTACCCGTCGTGGTGGTGCGCGTGCTTGAGGCTGAAGGTGTCGGAGTCACAGAGGCTCTGGTAGATGCAGGCGGAGAGCGCGACGGCCAGCTCGCGCAGCGTGTGCAGCAGACGCGTGGCCGCGCCGCCCGGCACGCACAGCTCGCCCACCGTGCCCAGCATGTCGTGCGCCACGCACTAACACGTTCATCAAACTTCATTTCATGCACTTACCACTATATTTGCATTGTGCCTCTCATTGCCCTCACAACAAAAGTGAAAGACTTATAGACATATGCAAGAAATAAATAACATAAGAGACTATATCAAGTTAATATTAAAATGATAAATAGGAAAGATTTGTATCTTTGTATGTATATAAATAATTTAAAAATTACTGGATAGATTTTAAAAATTCTTTTACAATTAAAACGCTCCATTATTGAGTAACATGGGCTATTTAAACTATTTATTTAATTTAACGCAGATGAAGGCGGGAGCAATAGCTAGTATAACAAAGTTGTGTAGTGTGATATACCTGTAGATGTCGCACGGGGTCCGCGACCACTGTGTTGTTGGCTGCAACGGCGGCGGCCAGCAGCGGCAGCGTGGTGGGGAAGGGCAGCGGCGACAGCAGCTGCTGGTGCTGCTTATCCTGGCCTAGCTCCTGCAGCAGCAGTACTAGCTCCATGCGCACCGACGCCAGCCCCCCGCCGCCCGCGCCGTGTAACGAGCAGTACGACAGTAGCGTACGCAGCAGTGTCTCGTTCGCTGCATTATATTATGGTTTTTCGAATATATTTGTAGAGAAAGTTTAGTGAAGATTAGAGTGGGCTCAATATGCATGAACCGTAATTCAATATACATTATTGATGTTATTGTCACATATCGCTCGGCGAAAATAAATTTCACATAATAATTGTCAAAAACCAAAAAGTTGACATGGTGTAAAGTATTGACTGAACAAAATAGAAGAACTGTCATTTTGAAAAAAAAAAAAAGATTAGTCATTAAATTGTATTCTGTAAAACACTTGGGAAAGGCTATGTCCCGCGGTGGACAAACAGCTGCTGTTGTCGGTGATGCTGACATGTACTTGTTACCTTTGAGCCACTTGCGGCGCCGCACTGCGCGCTGCACCTTGGCCTCGAAGTCGGCCTTCTCTCTGGCGAGGAGCTGGTGCAGCGTGGGGCGGTCGGGCAGCGGCGGCGGGTCCGCGTCCGCGCACAGCAGCTCGCCGGCCGCGCCGCCCGCCGCCGCGTACCCGCACAGCCGCCGCAGCGCCTCCACCTCGCGCTCCAGCCAGATGTACAGCTGGTAGCGCAGGTGGCCGCCTGCACAACGCAACATTTTTTAAACATTCTTTAACCATTACAAAGATAATTTAACTGTGAGTAACATAGGCTATGTTTTTTTTTATTATTTTTTAATTCCACGCGGCCGAAGTCGCGAGCAACAGCTAGTAAATTATATTTTCATTAAAATAAAAATCTATAGGACAAAATTTATTGGGGTTCTGTCTCCTAACCGTGTACATGTTCCATTAGTTTAAAAATTATAAAACTCATTTTAATTGGTTTCCACTACGAAACTAAAACAGCAATGATGACACTTATGTGACAGCCGTTCGCTTATTTTCTGTTGCTTCCTACTAACATCGATCACATTTGGTTTCTCTGCTCAGTACCGATAGTTAATGCGTGACGTCATTAAATCATCAGCAAAAGGCACAAGTAATATAAACTTAATTTTGTCTTACCATCGACTTCAAATCCAGTAGCCAGTGTACTTAGCTCCTCCATCAGGATCTTCAAACAAGCCACGAACTTCAACTGCTGGGCCATGATGTCAACTTGAGGGGCCTCTTCTTTCTGGTCATCCAGTCCATTCTCAACCGGTTCTTCGGGTTTATTTATTTTCATTTCTAGTGGCGGAGTTGAAGCACCAGATCCCTCAGACCTTCAAACAATAATAGACATTACTTAAAATAGCCATTTTTTATCGATATATCAAGTAGTAATAAAACTTACTCTTTGTCTTCGTTGTCGTCATCCCAAGTGAGAACTAAGTCATCATTCTTGACTGTACTAACCGGAGCTCCCCAGTCTACTGATGATGAACTCCAATCCACATTCTCTTCTTCCTCTGTTCAATTTATATTCTGTTACATTTTATTTTGTGACACTATTTAATTTATTTTATAAGAAAAGATGGAGGTTACTATAATTTTGTAAAATGTTTTATTACATGCCAATACAAGGAGTTGGCGTAATAAATTAGACAACTAACATAATACCTTTCAAAGTACTAGCTCCATGCGCACCGACGCCATCGATGACAAAACGTTGTTTACTATGTCTAGTCTATATTTGTTATATGTCTTTTTAAGAAAAAAAAATAGAAGTTAACAGTAAAAGAAATGAATTTTTACACACTTTTCGCGGGTGTATTATCCACAATTTGTCCTGTATGTATGAATGTTTCTTCTACCGAAGGGGCGGAGACTGGTTGTCTTATCTTCTCATCGCGCACTCTGGCGGGCAACTTGGACAACACTTCGAGTGCGAGCGCCGGGCAGCCCGCCTTGAAGTGCCCGTGCGCAGTCTGGAAGTACAGGCGCCGCTCCAGCCGCGTTATGCCCTCCTCCGCTTCTTGTTGTAGTAGTGCTAATGTACCACCCTGCACAAACAATAAAAACGTTAAAAAATGTATATGAAAACTAGCATTCGCCGCGACTCCGTCCGCGTGAAATTAAAAATAAACAAAAGAAAGCAGCCGGTGCCAAATTTCGATCGAGATCAGTCCAGTTTAGGCTACAAACTCTTACAAATATCCATCAAATACACTTATTTATTTTGTTTATTAATTTTTTTAGATATACATCCATTCTTTTGTAAATTTAACTTAGTCTAAGTTAGTATTCTTTAAAATACCCGAAACATCTAAAGTTAAAAACGTGAGTTATGACTGTTTACGTTGGAGAATATGGCTTATGCATGCCTACTACGTAAAAAAATCAATGATTCTAGTATTATTACCTGCGTGGGTAAATTATGTCTCTTTAGTCTTGGATGCGTTCGCAGATATACATAGAAGTTGAAGACACTGGGCACGGGCTCGTCGCTGCTGTTAGCTGCGTGCAAACGACCGGCTGTACGCAACAACGTGTCAAGCGCGGCGCCGTACCGACGTAGCTCCCACAACGCCATAGACCGCACGAACGGATCCGGGTGGGCACGCTCCAAGTCTATCTCACCATCTTCTGTCTCACCACTAGAGAAAAAAAGAAACAATATTATATATAAACCAACGAATACAATATTTGGACTGCATTCTCTTCAGCTGACCAACATAAAAGTCTTATCGTCATGTCATCTCTTTCATTTTCTTTCAAAAAACAAGGACATGTTCATTCTTACCCAAGTACTTCATCCATAAGTAATTTTTGTAAGCTGGGCGGCAACGTACTATCCGATTCGTACAGGCGGGCGATAACCATAGCCAATTGTAAATCTCCGAGACGGGTTATCAATACCTGAAATTACTAAGTCATTATAACAAGATATTCATAAACAATATCCGATAATTTAGAATCTCGAATACATTGGAAATTAATAATAAAATTTTGAAATTAATGTTTGACCTCTAAAGCGTCCTTGAGAGCACCTCCTAGCAGGAAGAAAGCGGCAGCGTGTTCAAATCTCTGCTTGCCGAGTAATACGAACGCATTCTTTAACGCCGCCTTACGCCAACGGTCCTCCGTGAAATCATTGGCGAAGAACTGTACAATAAGAAAAAAAAAACAATAAATACACTTCTTCTACAAAACATAATTATTCTTTGTAAGTGGTAAAAGCAAAGACATTCAAGAAATACATAGACTAGGCACAGTGACTAAATTTTTTTCACGGGTACTTTCTCTGAAAGATACTATATCAGTTAAGTTTAGTACGCCACTTTGTGGCACATTTTACAAAACTATCATAAGCTCCATATTTTGCTATAAAATAAACTTGGTTTTGGGACTATATCAACAGATAGCGTCAATGATATTATTTGAGAAATGTTTCAAGCGAAGCGTCAACTATGTCTACTCTATATATGTTTTAATCTCTTTGGGTAAGAGCTTCGTTATATTAGTATAGTATTTTGCAATATCGGACTTACGGCTGTCATCCTATCGTCTCTATTGGATCTGAACAGTCCCCACAGCAGCATGCGTTTCTTCATAGCTAAGTAGTAAAGTGCGGCGTCCATCGGCTCCTGCTTCGCCATGTATGACGCACGCGCCAACTTCTCGACGCACGTACGTAGTAAGTCACCTCGCACCCACCATCCCACGCCTGCACATAACGTATATTAGCGTATCCAACAGTAGACATTTTACATTACAGACTAGCTTTCGCCCGCGATACAAAGAAATAAAAGTGAGTAACCTATGCTTTCTTCCAGACTATGCTCTACATCTATGCCAAATGTCATCCTGATACGTTCAGCCGTTTAGGCTAAAAACTATAGCAAACATCCATCCATCTAAACATTCGCATTTATAATATTAGCATAAAGGAAGATAAGATTATCGATTAACTTTAAAACAATGAAAAAAAAAAATAATAAATAAAAAATCTTAAGCCATAAAAAAATTGTTGTCGATGGCAAAGTCATCTTACAAGTTTGTAAGTAAATTTAAGTAAAGCACTTGGTAGTAGCATTTTGAATTAGACTGTAAATAAGTTTTTTGAATGTAACTAAACACATAAATGTTAAAAGTTAACGTTAATATGACTTACCAAGTTCCCTCATAGTGGACCATTTAGGCTGTCCCTTAGTGTACCCGGGCACTAACGACAGCAGCTGCTCGTGTGTCTCTGAGTGGTACGCCCACACGAGGTTGCAGGTGCCGACGCCGTCGCGCTGTAACGACGCGCGCTGCGCAAGGGGTAGGCAGCGTAGTAAGTACCCGTAGTGCTTCATAGCTAGTAGGAACCGAAGTCCGCAGTCGTCGAGTGAATCTGTAAATATCAATAGTTAGTTTTTTTTTAATACGTTAAATAATTAAGAATTAATCTGTAACTAAAATTCAATCGGTAAGCATTAAATAATTTTAAAATCTATGCTAAGTTTGTTCAGTAAAAAATCCAACCTCTGGCAGACAAGAAGTTCGTATACAGCCAAAGAGGTATACGGGCCACCAAGACTTTTGCCTATTTAATATTTAAAAAAAGTATAGTGTAAACAGAAGTGTGGGAACTGTTCACGTATAAAGATGTAATTGTAAAAGAGATTAAAAGAATAATTTTGTAAATATATACATATTTGAATAAAGATATTATTTTAGAATAAAAAAGTGTACATTTGGTTGCCGCACTGTCGGAAACAGATTAAAAAATTAGCACAACATCAAACACAATTTGCATAAAAATGATTTACATTACAGTAAGTTTACTTTACGTCCTTTTATGAAATTTTAAATAGTACATAACTTTGAAATATCAATAAAATGAAGACTTTCTTATCTAATTAACAGAAATGGATAAAACAAACCCGGCACGAAGTCCTGTGCGTTGTTGTGTGCGAGATCAACACGCGCGTTGGCCGCAAACCGCTCCGCGAAGTCCGCGTCGCACGTCGACACCGTGTCCGCCAGCGCCAGCAGGTGCATCTGGTCCAGCGAGCTCAGCCCCGGCAGGTGCGTGTGTGTCAGGAGACGTGATAGGATACGACCTGGAATTAGATGATACAGATTTATATATCGTAAAATTCGAATCATGGATTATTTTCACATATATAATATAAACATCAAACAAATTTGATTTCGCTCGCGTGAAATTAAAAAATATAGCCTATTTTACTCATTGATAACGTACCTTTTTAATGAAGGAATTTTTAAAATCGACCAAGTACTTTTTGGGTTGTTTTAATACATACAAAATTAAAAATCTTTCCTTTTTATAACATTAGTATAGAAAATAGTAAAAATCTAATGGACTCAAAAACTCATTAAAATGATGTGTTATGTATTATATTTAGTTTACCTTGTCTAGGACCGAAATGTGATAGCGGTTGCCTTTCGGGCATCGAAGGACGGCGATCCACTCCATCTTCCTCGCTCAGTAACAGAGCATCCAAATCGTCTTCCGTTTCCATCGTTCCCTCGAACAATTCATTATAATCCTGTTCGAAATTAAAAGATTTAAAACCTTATTTACATTGTATTTAGGATTCATTTTAAATGGTGTTAAAGGTTTAATTGAGCCGAGTTCAAAATACCTATCTATTGTTAAGAAGAAATCGTAAACTAGAAATACAATACTAGAACATCGGAAAACACGTCCCGTCCCTATGACATCTGTCAATGTCATTCAAAATTGTTAGGATAAGCGCGCTAATTTGGCGGGAATCAATAGTGGAATTATTGAAGTTAATTGCGTTGTTACAATTACGTTATTGTCTAAAACTATATAGGCCTCACCTTAGCTTCTTGTATAGTGGACGGATGATGAGGTGATTCCTTGTCAGCTACCAGCAAAGTCCAAAGTGGCAATGGCGGCACTGACGTCAGTTCCGCGTAGTCTAACTGTACATCTTCCGTTATCTGAATTCAGTTTACAAGTTATCCTCTGTAGCGAAGAACAAGACTGAACTGTACAACAACGTACATTTCAGTTTAAAAAAAAACGTTGTATCCAATAATATAATTTTGGAAAAAATAATACCATTCATTGCAGTAAAAACTGAAAAATACGATAATCAAAAAAATATAACAAACATGTTGCATTCACGAACAATGACACCACGATCTGCGGGCTGACTTGGTATTTGAAAGTCAGTACTCACTTTGACATGGCGTAAGCATAATGCATGCAATGACTATGATATGATTGTGTGAAGTGCACACAAATAAATTACACAACGACTTAAAGAAAAAAAAAAAGATAAAAACAATAGAAGAATTTAACCGTTTTTTACTATTAATTTACCACAAATTCTGTAGTTTTGGCGTATTGATTTACCTGTGTGACGCCATCTAGCGGCGAGGCTGCGCCGGCGGCGAAGGACACGGACAGCGTGCGGGAACGCGACCAGCCGCGCTGCAACACACGCTACATGCACGCGCCGCCATATGGCGTACGTACTGCCATCTTGTATATGTGCCGCCATATTGCGTACGCGCCACCATATTGTGTATGCGCCGCCATCTTGTATACGTGCCGCCATATGCGACACGCCTCCAATGAGCATGCTCAGATAGTGATAAGTCATGCGACAGCGACCGAGTGACAACATTTATGGCTATATGCATATTATCTTTGCAAAACCGAACCTACTATTTATTATTGAAAACTTTGGTTTAAATTTTGTATTTAGTTAAATATTTTCTTTGCTTATTAAAATCAATCGCCTACCAAGTTTTCTGTCAGTCACTTTTAATATCAATACTTAATAATTATAAAATTCCACAAATAAAATTTTGAAAAAACTGTGAGATGATATGAAAGGTGGAAAATTTGTGCAAAATTGTGAATCCAAAGCTCAGGTGTTTGCAAAACAATAGCTTATGGTAACAATCCTTTTAAATCCGTTATTGATCGACGTATAATTTCTTACAAAAGCACAAAAGTCGTTTTAAGCAAGTTGTTGACAATCCTACATCACGGAAGATTCCTTTAAAATTCCTATGTTAGTAATATGAGTTCAAAATTCATTTATATACAGATATCATTCGGTAATTTAATTTTATCTATCAATTCCGTAGTGCGACTTAACAGACTTGAATGGCAAACATATGCATAAACACTGTAAGCAAGTAACATATCAATATTGAAGCTTATGTGAGCGTCATACGGTTCACATTCCAATCATCAGACCCGCTATAGTGCCACTCACATTGCAATGATTGAGGCTGACATGAAAAATAAATACTACTTTTGTACCTGTCTGGAAAGACTATCTTCATCTCCTTGAGAACTGCGGTTAGCGTAAGACCCTCCAATACATCTGAAATACAAATAATATAATGAATTTTCCTTTTTAGAAAGATAATTAAATTGTATTTTTATTCATCGTCCTAATTATAAGTCTATATAATACCACTTGGATTATAATTAGTTAACACTGGCCGCCGACAATCCACCGAGACAATAAAAATTAAGAAGCAAAAAAAAAAACAACGTGTGGTCGCGATATAGTTTTGCAATTATTGTAAATATGTAAATAAGTTTAAATAAAAAAAAAGTTTTAATTGGAAGAAAAGTTTTGTTTGGTATTTATGGCTGCCGCGCTGTCAACAAGTTGAACACTAATAAAATATCGCACTCACCTGACTAAATGTGCAAGTATTGCCTTCACCCATCGTATTTTTCCACTGTTCAGTAGTTCCATTAGTTGTTTGGGATGATACTGCGGTAGGACAGGGCAGGCCATTTGCGATGCCTCGAATAATCCGTAGTCAGGCATATAGTTCAATAGAGGCTGTTGGGGTAAAATAAACCAATTAAAAACCAACCAAGACATCGTATTCGATATTTCTTATAGACTTTCGGAAAACACAACACTCTGTCCCATTCCGATCGCATATTTAAATGTTACGGTTAGATTTAGCTGTGGTAACATTATCTATCCCTCTCATTCTACCAAAAAGAACAGAAATGGCAATATGTGGATTTATTACGTAGATTGGATATAAGTGGATATGTATAGGAAGGGGAATTATCATCTTTATGTGCGTCTTGTTCGTTGATTAAGGGTAGACAACACATCTACAATTGCCGATGTATATGGGCAGCGATCGCTTCGCTTTCTCGGCGAATTTAGGTGGCTACTCGAATGTTAGCCACCTAATAATGTTGAGAAGAAAATGTTCTTAAGCAAATGTTAGTCAGTTAACATACTTGTGGTTGATCGGACTGAGCCTTGTTCCGTCTCCTGGCGTCTCTCTCCAGCAGCTGCAGGTTGATGGAGGACACGCGCTGCAGATGCGGTGCGGACACGCGCAGGTCGGAGTCCCGGAGCGCGCGGGACTCTCCGCCCTCCTCTATCTCCTGTGAACATATTATTACTTATAACACATTCTAATACAAATGCTGAGTGTTGAAAAACTTTACATAAAAGTCTTATATCTATACTAATATTATTTATTCCTCTATAGGAAAGATTTATATTTTTAGATTTTTGTATGTATTGAAATAACTCGAAAACTCCGATTTAAAAAATACATTATAAAAAGCTACGTTATCACTAAGTAACATAGACTATATGTTTACTACTTTTTTTTAATTTCACGCGGACGATATCACGAGCAACAGCTAGTTTTCAATAAAGTAAATGTTTCTCTACTTAAGAATACATAAATAAAATTATTCAAATACTTAAAATGAAAACTACATCTATAGTTCCTAAACATATTGAAGACCCAAAATGAACTGCGCATTGCGCAAAGCCCTACCCTAGAACTATTTCACGTGAAGTCTATAGAGTCATCGAAATATCTAAAAACTTCTGTACCTGTATCTGTCCCGAAGGTAACTGCTGGTTCTCAGGCTTCCACTGCGAGTAAACATGCATCTCCGAGTCCATCCCCACCACGAGTATCCCATCCCGCACCCACGAGATCTGCATGGGCAGGGGGGGCAGCCCGTCTGCCGTCTTCAGGTCGATACGTCGTAGCTGCATCCATCTGATCTCTTCCACGAACAGCGGCGCGGCAAGAGACGACGCCTTCCTTAATATAGGACGGTTGTTGTTTATTGATTCTTTCATTGCCTGCAAAAATAAGTTCATAACTTACTAATGTTATGATCCGAAAGTTAAGATGGATGGATGTATATTTGATTGAGTTTGTGACCTAAAGGGTTAAACGGAATACGATGAAATTTGCCATAAAGACTATGCTGAAAGAAAGCATAGATTACTTACTTTTGTTTTTAAAATGATAAAACGTATATTGCTTACTGCGACACGAAAAGTTTGGCTTGTAATAAAAAAGAAACACCTAAAGGTGTATTATATATTAGGTAAAAAATTATGTATTATATTAAATCTTACCTTTAGGTTAGCTTGAGCTAGATCGCTGGAGACAGGCGTGAACAGTAACACTCTAGATCCAACAGCCACCGTCAGTATATGTGAGCCGTCTTCCTTCGACACCCAGTCCAGTTGCACCAGATGCTTCTGTGTCAGAGGACATGTGTTTCCATTCTCCATGATACTCCGTCGTAGTGACTGCAGCGTGCTGAATGAGGGTACGGCTAACAGTCCCGCTGATTTACCCGAATCACCTTCTCCATTACGGTTGTTCCTACTCTCTTCCGAAGAGAGGGTTTGAAGAACCTGAAAGAAGTACACGAAATAATAATTCAGAATTATAATACATATTATTTAAATAATATAACGAATAATTAAGCTGCATTCAGGGTTACTAATTGGTAACAAAGAAGTCCGTAAGTGTAACAGGACCACTTAAAGACTGTTACAGATTTCAGTAAATTCAGTATTTAAGCGTCGTTTTATCGCTATAACATATGTTTTAGTATTCGATCATAAGTGCGACAATCTTACTAATATTTTAAATACAAAAGTTTAAATGGATGGATGGATGTTTGTTAGAGTTTGTAGCCTAAACGGCTGAATATTTTTTTAAAATTTGGTACAGATGTAGATGGTAATCACTATTGTTTTTTTAAGTCCACGCGGACGAAGTCGCAGGTAAAAGCTAGCTAATAAAAATTTGATTAAATTATTAAAATGAAATGTCCACCTGCGTCAATCTCTGTTTCTTCTGCATGAATGAGGTATCATGTAGATAGGAGAGATCAATCTGCGTGTCGACGCTGACGCCGACGCGCGGCAGGCTGACGTTCCTGAGCGGGATGGTGTCCTCCAGCAG